CCACAGGCGCCAAGCCTTTTTTTTTTTTAATTAATTTTGAGATAAGAGTCTCACTCTGTCGCCCTGGGGTTGAGTGTCCTGGCATCATAGCTTATAGCAACCTCAAATTCTTGGGCTTAAGGGATTCTTTTGCCTCAGCCTCTTGAGTAGCTGGGAATACAGACACCCACCACAATGCCTGGCTTTTTTTTTTTTTTGGAGACCGGGTCCTACTCTTTCTTAGGCTGTTCTCAAACTCCTGAGCTCAGGCAATCCACCCTCCTTGGCCTCCCAGAGTGCTAATGAGCCACTGTGCCTGGCCTCTAATTTCTTAGTTTTTTTGTAGACAGGGTCTTGCTGTTGTTCAGGCTGATTTTGAACTCCTGAGCTCAGAGGATTCTCCCGCCTCAGCCTCTCAGAATACAAGGATTATGAGCATGAGTCATTGTGCTGAGCCTCAGCCAAATTATTTTTCTTGCATGGACCTCTGACCTAGATTAGCACGCCCTTTAAGTTCTTTTTCTCTTTCCCGCTTCCTCTGTCTACCTCTCTCATCCTAATTGTCTATTAAGATCGTTTTCTCAACTTTTTTCTATCCTGTAATCAGTCATTCAGTAAATCTCAGATATTTATTTATATATGTTTATATATATAGATATATATATATATATTTTTTTTGCAGTTTTTGGCTGGGGCTGGGTTTGAACCTACCACCTCTGGTATATGGGGCCGGCGCCCTACTCCTTTGAGCCACAGGCTCTGCCGTCAGATATTTATTAAGAACATCTGAGCTCAGCACCTGTAGCACAGTAGTTACGGAGCCAGCCACATGCACTGAGGTTGGTGGGTTCGAACTGGCCTGGGCCAGCTAAACAACAATGGCAACTGCAACAAAAAAATGGCCAGGCGTTGGGGCGGGTGCCTGTGGTCTCAGCTACTCAGGAGGCTGAGGCAAGAGAATTGCTTGAGCCTAGGAGTTTGAGGTTCTCTACTGAGGGCAACAAAGTAGGACTCTGACTCACAAAAACCAAAAACAGCCAAAAGAAACTCCTGCTTAGCTAGTGGTGTGTCAGATATTCTGTTTCAGTGGTTCTCATTTTTCCTAATGCCACGACCCTTAATACAGTTGCTCATGTTGTTGTGACCCCCAACCATAAAATTATTTTTGTGGCTACTCATAACTATAATTTTGCTACTGTTATGAATCATAATGTAATTATCTGATATGCAGGATCGTCTTAGGTGACCCCTGTGAAAGGGTCATTCAACCCCCAAAGAGGTTATGACCCACAGGTTGAGAACCGCTGTGTTAGACTATAGGCATTATGGAAATTCAATCTTTTCAGGAGTCATATGTGTCTAAACATCTCTTATTTTGTAAATATGGAAACTTCACTAGGTTAATTTGCTTAGTGTCATACCTAATAAATGCAGGATCAAATTCAGGTGCACGTAGTTGACCTTAGAACCTCTGCCTTTAACTATGTTAGATGAACGTAAGATATGAGTTTTCAAGAATGAGTGGACACTGAGGAGAAAAAGAAGCTAGTATTTTAGATGTATTTTGACACAGTTACAGAAAACAGTGAAAATGTATATGGAGAGAGTGTAAAAGCTTTGGATATTCTTTTCCCTTGTTTCAGTTTTATTCTTCCTTCTGACTCCTTGTCTTTCCTTTATTTCTTCTTTTCCCTATTACTTGATTATAAACTGCCTGGGAGGCTGAGGCAAGAGAATCGCTTAAGCCCAAGAGTTTGAGGTTGCTGTGAGCTGTGATGCCACAGCCCCTCTACCCAGGGTGAAAACTTGAGACTCTGTCTCAAAAAAAGAAAAATTGAATAAATGGACTTGAAGTATATATTTGCTGGATTCATTGAGTGATATTGATAAAATGTTCAACTCACTAATTATAATTTTTAAAAATCGTCAGTATCAATGGCAACGTTATTGACTAGGTGTAACTAAATGTGACACATGTAATAAGCACTTCATGAGTCTAGGAACATTGCTTCATGGGTGTTAGGGTTTCCACTTCAATGGTGAAGATATGGGAGCTCAGGAAGATTATTACATAACTAACCCAAAGTCTCAGGGTCAAATCCCAGATAAGCCAGTATTTGAACTTAGGTCTTTCTTAATTCATTATACCATTACTGATTCTATGATAAGAATCCAGAATGTAAGGTAAGTTGAACATTTCTTTCTCTAAAAACAAAACATAGTTGCTGTTTTATTTTAAGAGGCCTTTTATTCCTTTCTTTCCTTTACAAGTACTTGGTTTCTGGAGCACCTTTGCACGTAAAATACAGTACTGTGTAAGAAAAGACGTGTGATGTAATTGCCATGGCTTCTCCCACGGATAGCATTTCTGATTTTCTTTTCTTTTCTTTTTGTTTTTTGAGACAGAGCTATCCCCCTGGGTAGAGTGTCCATGTCATCACAGCTCACAGCAACCTCCAGCTCCTGGGCTCAAGCGAGTCTCCTGCCTCAGCCTCCCAAGTAGCTGGGACCATAGGCGCCTGCCACAATGCCTGGCTATTTTTTTGGTTGCAGCCATCATTGTTGTTTGGCGGGCCTGGGCTGGATTTGAACTGCCAACTCAGGTGTATGTGGCTGGCGCCTTAGCTGCTTGAGCCACAGGCGCGGAGCCATTTCTGATTTTCTTATTGGAATTCCTCACAGCCTAGGAGACAGACTGGGAAAGATAGTAGGATTTCTTGGGTTAGCTGCCTCAGGCTGCAGTTAAGAACAGAACTGATTGACTGAATGTCTCTGGCCTCTTTCCACAGAGGAGGAAGCTTGATGCTGTATATTACTATATGCGCAGTTTAGCTGCCAGCAACCCTATCCTAACTGCCAAAGAGAGTCTCATGAGCTTGTTTGAAGAGACTAAACGAAAGGTGAGTTGGGGATGCAGGGAGAAACAATTCTTGGAAGAATACATTTCCCTTAGTGCTCTGTGACTTCAGGGGAGTGATTAATAATATCCATAGTGGTACCATGAGGCTGTGCTGATGCATAGTCAGCCAGCTACTGTGCAGAACCAAATTGCAATATTCAGGAGAACTTTTAGGGTGCCCTCAGCTATACATGTTCCACAGCATCTAGTTTACAGAATTAATAACTTCTATTAGAGCAGATGATACTCTGCTACTTTGGAATTGTAACAAAGCCTTTACTTTTTATAGTCCCTAGGCAACAAACACAGATGAGGTGAGGTTCTTCTTTTTGTTAATTGAATCTCAGGAGAGTCTAAACTTAGGTTTGTATGTTACATAGGCAGAACAGATGGAAAAGAAGCAACATGAGGAATTTGAACTGAGCCCTGATCAATGGCGGAAAGGAAAGAGGTCAACTTTTCGGCATGTTGGTGATGATACCACTCGCCTGGAGATCTGGATTCATCCATCCCATCCACGATCCTCCCAGGGCACTGAGTCTGGGAAGGATTCTGAGCAGGAGAATGGGCTGTGTAGCCTGAGTCCCAGTGATGTAAGTTCCTAAGAGTGATGCAATGAACCAAACTAAGTAAGGCTAGGTGACCTGGTTCACTCAACTGTGAGGTGCTCTGCAGAGTCTTTCCACTGATCATAGGAAAGACAACCCAAGGCACATAAGGCTCCCTGATGTCCTCTTCCTTTTCATTTACATGTCCTTTATCTTATTTGCTTCCCTTTCTCACCACTATGTGGCACTGCAGAATTTCATAAAAGTAGAGTTCAAATTTTTTGTTGTTGTTTTTAGTTTGGCGTCATCAATACAGTGCTTTAGAATTCTATTCCTTTTTTTTAATATTAAAAAAATTTCACCCAGGAGACATAGATTTAAGTTGCCTTAGATATTTACTCTCAATGCTTTAGGATTCTGTGTGGGATGTTATACTTACTTTTTCTTCTTGGTTGACCTTATATTTAGAGAATGAATTAAAGCAGCCAGGGGTAGGTTAGTCTGGTTTGTGATCAGCCTCTTATGGGATAACCTCTTATAACTCTTGGGATAGGGCTTTTTCCTTAAATCAGGAGAAATGACAGTAAAAAAATCACAGGTTTGTATGCAAGTTTCTCCTCTTCATTTACTCAGTAAATATTGAATATTGTGCCACATACTAGAGATGCATGAAAAAGATGTCCTTTTGCTCTCAGTGTGAGCATTCTAGTTGAATATACAGAAGCGTGAACAGGCATTTGGAATATAGTATAATAGATTTTGTTTGGGGTATGCACCCAACATTTGTGGGAACACATAGCTGTGGATCAGTTTGAAGTATAAAGATCAGAGTTAGCTAGAAAAGAAGGTGAAGGAAACCGGTAAATTATTTCCTAGGCAAAGGAAATAGCATATGCAGAGGCCTGAACCTAGGGAGAGAGAGCACAGCAGTTGGAAAACTACGTAGGGCTAGTTCATTGTGCCTTGAGAGTAAATTTATAGTGGACTGAGTAGTGGGCCAAGTTGGGGCCAAATGTTGAGGGGTTATACAATAATTAATTTGGGGGAGGCGCCTGTGGCTCAGTGGGTAGGGCGGTAGCAGGTTCAAACCTGGCCCCAGCCAAACTGCAACAAAAAATAGCCAGGTATTGTGGCAGGTGCCTGTAGTCCCAGCTACTCAGGAGGCTGAGTTAAGAGAATCGTCTAAGCCCAAGAGCTGGAGGTTGCTGTGAGCTGTGACGCCATGAGGGTGACAAAGTGAAACTCTGTCTCTAAAAATAAAACCAAAAAAACCCAATAATTAATTTGGGCTTTATCCTGACGATAGTAGGGAGCTATTGAATGCTTTAAATAAGGGAATAAGGAGTCAGATCTGCCTTCTGTATCTATAACTGTGGCTGCTTTGTGAAAAGTTTAGAGAAGAGTAAGACAGTATAGGAAATTAGAAAAGTGCTGTAGTAACCCAAGTAAGATGCAAAAATGACTTGAGCCAAGAAATGGCCTTGGAGATAGGGAGACGTGAACGTGATAGTGATTCTTCATATCCATAAATAGAACCCAAAGGACTTGACTGGGATGTGGGGAGCTCAGGGAAAAGAGGGAATCAAGAATAATACCTAGGATTCTGACTTGGAAACTGGAAGATGGTTTATACCCTGAAATGAAGACTAAAAGTGGGTTGGTTTTAGGAGAAAGATGATGAATTTAATTTTAGACATACTGAATTTGTCATTCCTTTAAGACAGCAATCTCTACCTTTTTGGCACTAGAGACTGCTTTCATGGATGATAGTTTATCTATGAGAAGGGGTAGGGGGTGGTTTTGGAATGATTCATGTGTATTACATCTCCACCTCAGATCTTCAGGCATTAGATTCTCATAGGGAGTGTGCAGCCCGGATCCCTCCCATGTACTGTTTACGATAGTGTTCTTACTCCTGTGGAAATCTAATCCTATTACTGATTTAACAGGAGGCGGAGCTCAGGTAGTAATGCAAACAATGAGAACATCTGTAAATACAGATGAACCTTCCCTTGCTTGCCCATCCTTCAGTTTTTGCTGTGCAGACCTGTTCCTAACAGGCTGTGGACTGGTACTGGTCCCCAGCCCAGGGGTTGGAGACTGCAGTTTTAAGATATTGAAATGGAGCTATTCAGAGGCTATTCAAAGGCTAACAGGTGTCTAGAGCTGAGGAGAGTGGTCTAGGCCACAGGTGAAGTTTTTTTAGACAGAGTCTCACTTTGTCACCCTCGGTAGGGTGCTGTGGGCATCACAGGTCACAGCAACCTCCAGCTCTTGGGCTTAGGCGATTCTCTTGCCTCAGCCTCCCAAGTAGCTGGGACTACAGGCGCCCACCACAGCGCTCAGCTATTTTTTGTTGCACTTTGGCCAGGGCTGGATTCGATCCCGCCTCCCCATGGAGCCACAGGTGCTGCCCCCTCTTTATTTTTTTGACAGAGTCTCACTATGTCGCCCTCTGTAGAGTGTCATGGCACCACAGCTCATAGCAACCTCAAACTCTTGGGCCTAAGTGATTCTCCTGCCTCAGCCTCCCAAGTAGTTGGGACTACAGGGGCCTGCTACAGTGCCTGGCTATCCTTTTTTTGCAGCTGTCATTGTTGTTTGGAAGGCCCTGGGTTGGGTTTGAACCCACCAGCCCCAGTGTATGTGGCTGAGCTATGGGCAACCTAGCCTATTTTTTTTTTTTTTTTGAGACAGAGTCTCACTGTGTCACCCTTGGTAGAATGCAGTGGTGTTACAGCTCACAGCAGCCTCAAACTTTTGGGCTTAAGTGATTCTCTTGCCTCAGCCTCCCAAGTAGCTGGGGCTACAGGTGTCGGCCTCCACACACAGCTATTTTGTTGTTAGAGTTGTCATTATTGTTTAGCTGGCCCAGGCTGGGCTCAAACCCTCCAGCCTTGGTGTATGTGGCTGGCATCATAACCACTGTGCTACAGGTGCCAAGCCTATATTTTATTCTTAAAGTAATGTGTGGGTAAGATTGTTTTTATTCTATGTGCATCTCAGGGAATGCATTTTCAGCACGTGAGCTGTCATTGGACTCATTAATTTTATTGATTATTTTGTTTCTACTTATACAAATAATATATAAATACAGTCTTAAAAAATTTAAATCATTATAGAAGTATATGGAGTAAAATGTAGTAATAGTTTTCTGAACTATTTGTGAAGCTATATATATATTTTTTTTTTCTTTTTTTTTTGAGACAAAGTCTCCCTATGTTGCCCTCAGTAGAGTGCTGTGGTGTCAGCATCACAGCATACTGCAACCTCCCACTCTTGGGCTTAAGTGATTCTCTTGCCTTAGCCTCCTAAGTAGCTGGGAATACAGATGTCCACCACAATACCCAGCTATTTTTTTTTTGCAGTTGTTATTGTTGTTTAGCTGGCCCAGACTGGGTTCAAACCTGCCACCCTGGCTGTGTGTGGCTGGTGCCGTAACCACTGTGCTATGGGCACCAAGCCAAAGCTTTGAGTTTAGGCTTTTAATTCTAGACTACCAGTACTTGAGACAGAAGTCTGGAATTTTATAATGATATTTGTCAACTCAGGAAACCATGCCATCTTTTTTTTAATTTAAAATGATTGATTTATTATATAGTTCAGATACATAAACTGAAAATTCAATCCATCTGAAAATTAAGCTTTAAGAATACAAGTTCAGTTTCCAGGGAATACCCAGGAAGGCAATTTTTTGTCTAATCTAGAATACTAATAAAGATGACTTCATGATGAATAAAATGTTTTACCAGCAGTTCTGTTCAGGCCAGCATGTTAATAATTGTGGTTTCTTACCTTAGAAGAAATTCTAAATAAATATTCTCTTAGGCTAAATAAGACTTGGTTAAACAATAAGACTTGAGAGGGGATAATCAAAGCATATAAGTGAACAAAATAAACTGATAAACTGTTCCTTTAGAAATGAAGGCAAAAGTATATTCATTACAGTAATGTTAGCCTCTGGAAAATAATTCTGTTTTTAGTGTTTTACCTGCTTAAAAAACAAAATCAAGACCTGGTGTGGGGACTTATGCCTGTAATGTGAGCACTCTGGGAGGCCTTGAGGGGATTGCTTGAGTTCAGCAGTTTGATACCAGCCTGAGTGAGAGCCAGACCTCTGTCTATCAAAAATAGAAAACTTGGCTCGGTGCCTGTGGCTCAAGTGGCTAAGGCGCCAGCCACATACACCTGAGCTGGCGGGTTCAAATCCAGCCTGGGCCAGCCAAACAACAATGA